TATATATATATATATATATATATATATATATATACATATATATATATATATATATATATATATATATATATATATATACATTTGTCTCCCTTTTAAAAATCCAAAGGTTGGCACGTATCATTCCTTCGCCTGTCTACATAATTTTAATTTTGATCATCATGATCATTATCATCATCATTTTTATCATCATCATCATCATCAACTGCATCAGCATCATCATCATCAACTGCATTAGCATCATCATCATGGCCATCAGTGTAGTCTGTCAACTTAATCCTCTGTCTCACTATCATTTTCATCATGATGGCCATACTGACGATGATAATCGTCGTCGTCATCATCATCAACAATCATCATCGTCGTCGTCGTCATCATTAATGTAAAAAAAACATCACCTCTATAGTCATTACTGTCATTACAATTTAACTATCATCATTATCACCATTTACGTCATCAGCACCACCAACATCTTCGTCTTCATCATTATTATCATCACCTGACATTGCAATCGTCACCCCAGCCCTCATTACTATTCATCATCATCATCAAAAATTATCATTATCATCGTCATCATCATCATGATCGTTTTTTTTCACCAATAATAAGGATAGTCATTATATAGATGTTGTTATCGTGTCTTGTTGAGTCGTATGTAGTTAGTTGTTGTTGTGTTGAGTTGTATGTGGTTGTTGTTGCGTTGAGTTGCATGTGGTCGTTGTAGGGTTGAGATGTATGTAATTAGTGTTGTGTTGAGTTGTATGTAGTTGTTGTGTGTTGAGTTGTATGTAGTTGTTGTTGTGTTGAGTTGTGTGAAGTTGTTGTGTTGAGTTGTGTGTAGTTGTGGTGTCGAGTTGTATGTATTTGTCGTTGTAAGCATTTGTCGAAACCACACAAACATGACACGGTGGATGTATACCTATTATTGTGAAAGTTTTTCATCTTCAAATACCGCGCTAATATGCCCGACATGCCAGATGTTTCTTGACGTCCGTGCTCGGTTTTGTTGCACGTTCTTCTAATAAATTGACAACAAACAAACAAGGAAACATATATACATACAAACATACATACATATATGCAAACAAACAAACAAACACACATACATACATACAAACATAAATACACACATACAAACAAAAAAACAAACTAACGAAAATACAATCAAACATACACACATACATTTATACATACATACATAAATACATACATACATACATATATACATACATACATACATACATACATACATACATACAGATATACATACAGATATACATACATGTATACATACATACAAATGTATTTTTCTGCTTTTTGCGTCAGCTTGATATACATTATCAGATATTTTTTCTGATATTTTCTTTGGATTTTTATGACTTTTGTTACTTTTTCTATATCTCATAATTTTTTTGTTTTGGTTTTTTTATTGTATGTTCGACTTTTTAATCATTTTATGTTTATGTTTTTTATGGCTCGCTATCTTCCGTCATACATTCCTCATACAATTTTTTTGTATATTTATTGTGAGATTGTATGTGACTCTGTTGTGAGATTGTATGTGACATTTTTCGTTGATACATAATTTTTTTTTGTATTCATAATTCTTTCAAAAATAATGCGCTAAAGTATTAAGTATAAATAATTTTTATACCCGCCACCGCTCATTATTTTTCTAGAGATTCATCGGCAGATTTTTTAAAAACGAAAAAAATGTTTATTTTTTTTCATGTTTTAATGGAGGTGACGATTAAAACATGTTCTTTGATGTTGATGGTTTTGTTGTTGTTGTTGCTGTTGTTGTGGTTGATGTTAATGTTGTTGCTGTTTTTGTTGATGCTGTTGATGCTATTGTTGTTGTTGTTGCTGTTGTTGTTGCAGCTGTTGTTGAGATAAATGTGTGTATTATTGTTGTCGTTGTGCAAGTTTTTTGTGTTTTGTAATTGTTTTTGTTGTTGGTATATTTTTAAATGTTTTATGTTTACTGTTGTTTGTTTTTGTTTTTGCTCTAAATATTATTGATGTCTGTGTTGATGATGTAGTTTCTATTTTTTTTTTGTAGAAGATAAATACGGAACCATGATTATTTATTGTATCGATGAAGTTGTTGTCTATCATGTTGATGTTGTTGTTATTGTTGTTGTTATTGTTGTTGTTGATGTTGTTGTTGTTGTTTTTGATGTCGTTAATGTTGACGTTGTTGTTTATTATATTGTTGGTGTTGTTGTTTACGGTGATTCTATAATATTGTTAATAAAGTCGACCTTACCATCAGCGCGTTTTTAAATTTGATGTCATTTTTTTCGTTAATAGTTTGGTTATTTGGTTATTTCATGTTTTTGTTGTTAATGTTATTGATGTTAATGTTGTTGATGTTAATGTTGTTGATATTGTGGGTGTTTTGTTGATGTCGTCGTTATTGGTGTGATGTTTTTTTTCGATTTGTTTGGTGTCACTGCGTGTTTGTTATTAATGTTGTTCTTGAAAGGTTTTCTTTGCAAAAGGCGTATATGATTTATTGAGCTCTCGTACGCGAACATACACACACACACAATTGTAAGTATAAACACATACACACACACACACAAATAAAAGTATGAGCACATACACACACGCGCGCAAATAAAAGTAAAAACACGTACAGAAACACACATACACACAAATATATGCACAAACAAGTGCATACGCACACACACAATTATAAGTTCAATCACGTACATACATGAATACAAACAAATACGCACAAAAGTGTATACTCAATGCATATCTATAAAAATTTAATAAAAATCTGTCTTTTTCTTTAATTCTGTCTGATATACGCCAGCTTATATATACATACAAAAAAACAAACAACACACAAACATCACACAAACAATCACTACTGACACACATGTACGAACACATTCACACACGCACACACACACACGCACAAGCATACATCGCGTAATAACCTCGCGCACGCGATTTCATAGAGTAACTTCATCAGTCAGTCTTATGGATGAATGGATGGGTGGATGGATGGGTGAATGAATGAATAAGTAATAAATGAATGAATGAATGAAAAAAAAGAACGAACAAACAAACAAACAAAAACAAATGATAAATAGAACGATCACAGATACAAATAAACAAATGGATGGATGTATGGATGGATGTATTGGATAGAAAAATGAATGAATAAAGGGATGAATGGAGGCCAGTAAAATGCCAATACACCTAGGAATTTCCCAGATTTTATTAATAGTTCTGGGTTTTCCCCAAAGAGTGAAAACCCAAACGAAACGCTCAAACAGCTTACGAGGAAATGACGTCATTCATGATGATGATGGTTAGGTGATGATGGAGGTGACAAAAGGAAAAGAAAAATAATAATATGATGATGATGATGATGATGACGACGACGACGACGACGATGATGATATAAAGTATTGCATATTAGTAAGAGATATTTTGTTGATCGCTGAATTATTTATAAATTTGAAAGAGAACGGCGAATTATTTCAATAGAATGTTACAATGACGTAGAAATTGACTAATTTATAGAATGCTGACATATTATATTAATTCTATCTAAAGTTAAATTCAATTCGTAGGTCAAATTTTCAAATTCATTTTTCCTACGTTGCATGCAGTTATTGCTATTTGCCTGCCCGGCTCATTTTTATTATTGTTACTATTATTATCATCATTATCATTATCATTATTATTATTATTATTATTATTATTATCGTTGTTATTGTTGTTGTGGTCGTTGTTGTTATTATTCCAGTTGATAACATTTTGCTTATTTGGATGCACTTTTAAATTTACTTCCTTCCGAGCGGATGAAGACTAAATAGATTAGGAAATTGGACGACGACAATGGCGATTATTATTATTATTATTACTATTATCATGTTATTATTATTTGCTTATGATGACGACGATGGAGGTGATAGTGATGATGATATGGGTGACGACGATGATGACGATGACGAAGACGGTGATAATGAAAGCAAA